GGAACCGGGGATTGAACTCAGGCCCTTGGGCCCACCAGGAAAGCGCTCATTCCATGAGCCAACTCCTGGGTCCCTTTCCCTTATATTTTAAATAAAAGTATAAATTTACATATGGTAAAAAGTGCATAGTACAGAAAAATCTAAAACAATAAGTAAATATCCTATTTCCACAACAAAGCAGATCTGATGTCTTCAGAATCCTTGAGCAGTCATATGAGTCACTCACAAACTAAAGGTGAACAGCCTTCTCTCGGCAAATGCTCCTCAGGCCCTCAGAGCTGTGCTTGCTGGCTGTCCCTACAGCACTTCTGCTGCAGGGGAAGCCACGCAGTCTTTCTCTGTTGTGTAGGAAGGACTTCTGGAGATGCAGCCACCCCTCAGCCGAGTCCTTCCTGAATGCCGCGGATCCTCCTGGCCAGCTGCACATCCTTGGGGAACAAAGTGACTCGGCCAGCGTGTAAGGAGAGGAGGTAGGCATCTTCGAAGAGGTGAACTAAAAATGCTTCCGCGGCCTCTTGAATGGCCAGCAGGGCCTGAGCTTGCCAGCTGAAGTCCACACCGCGGGTGAATTTAGCACATATTTCTCTTACCACGCGGCTGAAGGGCGCCTTCCTCAGCAAGAGGTCTGTGCTCTTCTGTAGCTTTCGGATCTCTCGGAGCCAGGTGAAGTGCCCAACACGCCGAGTGACAGTGGCACCTGAGGTGCTGGGCCGGGGCGTCCTGCGGGTCGGGGAGCGCCTCCTCGGGGTCTCCGGCTTGCGGTGCCAGCGCGGGGCCGTGGCGGGCTGCGGAGGGTCTGGGGCGCGGCTCCTCGGGCTCACCGGTAGAGGCCGTAGCGCGTGCCAAGGGCTCAGCATATTAATATGGCTTTACATTTTATACTTCATTTTTATACTTTTCTGCTGGATTGTTAAGACCAAGATAAAGCAAGACCTATATAACAAGAAATGTAACTTTTGTATCTGACAAGGTCAATCAAATCCCCTCAGGATGTACCCTGAATCTCTGTACCACATTTTATAGATCCTTTGTCAGTGTCAGCCATGTGGATGAATCACGGTCATTGCTTGACCAACTTGCTGTCTGTGAAAGCCTGAGAAAATGTTTTCTCTCCATGTCTTTCCTCAGGCACACTATACATCATTGATCACTAGAAAAATACTTTTGTATTCACTTTTTTATCATTTTATTCATTTTTTTCTTCTTCACTTTACTTTTTTTTTTTTTTTTTTCCAGAACCAGGGATTGAACTCAGGCCCTTGCGCTTGCCAGGGAAGCTCTTACTCTGCCGAGCCATCTTCCTGGCCCCTGTATTCACTTTTGATGTTTGTTTCTAGTAAAATCTCATAAGTAGTTCTGATTATTTTTTTTAATTCATGTTTATATTATTTGTGAAGATAACCTATAATTTTGTGCTACAATCTATAAAAACTGCTATCATAAGTACATTAGACATGGTTTTTATGCATCTCCAGAGCTCAGTGATGTTCTTTTGCAGTACACAATGGACATGTTTGGCACACTGAGACAGAATGGAAAGAAAGGGCCAAAACACAATAAAGGAAAAAAGCAAAAAGTTGAGAAATGTTGTCATATCAGAGAGGAAAAGCTGCGCTACAAAATGGAAATACAAAGGAAGTTGTCTCCTTATTACAAACTATCCATAATACAGAGATCATAGAACCCAAAACATGAAACACAACTACAAATTACACAATGCAGAGGAAAATTAGAAGATAGTATCAAAACTGAAAACATTTATTTACCAAAACCATAGCAGAAAATATTCCAGGTAAGGAACGAACTCGACTTCTAGGTAAACAAGTGATCTAAAATCCCACATAGCCATGATCAACAAAGCACTTCTCCATGATACATTGCAGTGAAAACCACTGAAGTCTAACACAAAAACAGAATGCCCTGTTGACCAACGGGACAGGTTAGTGGGTGCAGAAACAACCCCAAGTGCCTTCAGCCATCTCATGCTCAACAAAGGGGGTAAGATTATACAATAGAGAAAAGGCAGCCTCCTGATAAATGGTGTTGAGAAAATTGGTTATCCACATGCAGAAAAAAATAGACCCACATCTCTCACCTGGTATGAAAATCAAATCAAAATGAGGCAAAGACCTACATATACATGCTGAAACACTGAGCTGTTAAAGGAATAAATTGATAAGACTCTTGGAGACATAGGCACAGGCAAAGATATCCTGATCAGAACTCCAATTGCACAAGAAATAACAATGAGAATAAACAAGTGTAATTGTAACAATTAAAAAACTTCTGTACAGCAAGTGAAAGAACAACAGAGTGAAGAGACAATTTACAAAATGGGGGAAAAAAGTTTTTGCTAGATATCCCTTAGAGGGCTATTACTTAGAATTTGGAGAGAGCTTAAAAAAAAAAAGCTCTCCTTCCAAAAATGTAAGACTCAGTAAAATGGATGATTAACATGCACCATACTTTGCAGCAGAAGAAATGCAAACGGCCCGTAACTTGAAGTAAAGTTGAGCTTCTTCGGTCCCTGGCGAAGTGGAAATTAAAACAGCGCTGAGATCTCGCCATACTCCGGTGGGTCGGGTCATTATCAGGGACTTCAGATGCCAGGAATGCGGGCGAGGTTGGAGAGAAAGAGGAACTCTTCCACTGTGTTAGTGGGAACATGGAGTAGTACCGCCACTGCGGACTTCAGTACGGAGATTCCTCAAAAACAACCCCCCACCCCAAAATTAAAAATTCTGTCGGGCAGTCTTCTCTCTCCTGGTTACCTCCCCGAAGGCACCGAAGACATCACGGTACATCCAGTGCATATCCATGGTTATAGCACTGCCACTCACAACTAAGCCGTGGAAGTGCGCTCTACGCAAATCAGCCGATGACTGCATGAGGAGAATGTGGTAGGTATGCACAGCAGAGTACTGGTCAGCTATGAGCACGGAGAGGTTTGAGTCATCTGCAGAAAACCAGATGGCTCTCGGTCCATGATACTGAGTGAAACAAATGAGCCGCAAAAGCTGCTTCTCCTGTCTGGGAGACCCAGAGAGAAGCCACTGAAAGGCAGTGCGCGAGAACCGCGTTGCTAAGCAGAGAGTGAGGCTCTGTAGACGTGGGAAGGGAGTGAGCAGAAGGGTGGAGAGGAAGTGGGAGGGAGGAGGACACGAGTGTGAAAAGTGTGTCATACGTGTAGGCCTCAGCTCCCCAAACACACATGATCACTGCGTATGGTAAGCAGGTACCAGGAGAACTTTGATTAAAAAGATCATCTGTCCTGATTAAGTGGAATTCATCCTACAGATACGCCGGTGGCTCTGTAAGTGCGAGTCAATAAGCGAGAGGCATCATGTTCACGAATGGAGGACAGAAGCTATGTGAGCAGTGAATCTTTGTAGAGTACTAGCTGATGAAGGTCAAAATTATTTACTCATGAACATTCTCAACAAGTTAGATACTGAAGGTACACACCTCAGCACAAGTAAGGTCATATGAAGAATTTATGGCTAAAATCACAATGGACTGAACCAGAAGGATAGCCGCCCTCATCACTTCTGTTCAGCATAGTACTGGGATTCTTAGGAAGAGAAGTCAAGAGTAACCAAGGAAGAAAAGGTATCCAAAGCTAGAAAGGAAGAAATTAAATCTTCTGTCTTTACAGGTAATGGCATGCGCTCAGATATGTTAAAAAGCACTATAATAACCCTAAGAAATAGTTCATAGATCTACATATGAATACAGCCTAGTAGCAGGATATGAAATCAATATATAAAAATCAGTACTGCTAAATTCTACTGGTTTATAGAAAGGAACAGTTAATGCTTTATTTTGCATGCTCCTGTCTGGTAATATGAGCAACTGCTTGAAGATAAGCATATACAATGGCACAACATTGTTGGCTTCCTATCATCTTGTTTTGAAATTCTGTAATTTAAAAAAAAGATTTATTCTCTTTAAAAAAGCAGAACACACAACGGAGAAAGTAAGACTTCAACAAAAGATGCAAGAAAACTGGAATTCCCATACAGAAAAATGAAATTATAGGCTGATCTCTCTTCATATGTAAGAAATGAACTCAATATGGATAACAGAGTTAATACTAAGATCTGAAAATATGAAACTCCCAGAAAAATCACTGAAGAAGAGCTGTCATTGGTCTAAAATGAGTTAAAGAGCAAAATCTTAAAGGAATCACCACAAAGAAAGCTGCACAAGTTGGGTTATCCTGAGCTACAGAACTTGCGCACAGCAAACGAATTCAAGAGAATGAAGAGATGGTGTGCACAATGGAGTATATTTTCAACTCACAGCTGACATCTGCACACGCCTATTCCACAGTACATAAGCGAACTAATCAAGCTAAAGAGCAGGAAATGTCCAAACCACCACATTAAGCAGTTGGTGAAACACACGAGAAGTTTTTGAGAAATATGACAAAAAGCTTAACATCATCCACCATCATGTGTAGGAAGAAGTTAGAATGGCGAGTATGAAACATGATGAAGTAACAAGTGTGGTGAGGTTGTGGGGAGAGGGATCCCCTAGAGTGCTGGTGGGAACAGTCATTAATAGAATAATCATGGAAAGCAGCTCGAGATTTCCTCAATAACGTGAGTGGACATTCTAAGTAATTTGGCAGTCCTGCTACAGAGTACATATGCAAAGGACACGGAATCAGGGGTCAAAGAGTTATTTGTATCCCCGCGTCTGAGGTCTTGGGGCTTCCTGTGAACTATTATGAAAGCCAGTCACTCCTTCCTATCCATCGTATTATTTCACACTCCTTAAAACTCTGGAACACAAATTATTGAAAATAAGTGTCATGAAAAAATGTGCATCAGTTTCTTACATTTGTGTGTATTCTCCATGACTTGAAGGAATTCACACCATTCTCAGTCACCATATTCTTGCACTCACTTCACACACTTTTTTTTTTATAGCAAACATGAAGAGATCCTTGAAATATTAGAAACACTCTTATTGTATTAGCTCTTGGGCTATGTCAACCAAGGGTAAATTTTTTAGATTTAAGAAGAAATTGTGAAAGAGATCAGGGTTCTACAAATGATATTGCAGTTGGATGTCATGTCGACCTTGGATGTCATCTTTGATCGTAAATCCTCACTGGAGTTTAGATTCAAAAATGAAATTAACAAAATAACTCAGTGTACTGAAAAGATCAGACCGTTCTTTCTATCACTCCGTGGTTTAGATCAGTTCTTCTTTATTTAGACATCAGCTGAAGGGTACAAGGATACCAACAAAACCTTGTTAGACGGTTAGCAACGAAAGCTGCCGCAGTCTGTGCTGCAGATGAACTTTGGCTCCCTCCCTGTGGTCTTTCTAGAAAGCACAACGAGGCCAGTCTTAGCTTCTTTCCAGTGTTAGAGCCTGCGTGTGCTTGCACACCTTCAGACACAGCACGATCAGCGTCACCGCTGTGTCTCTGTGATGCTCCATCACAGTATTTACAAGAGAATTTTTCCAGATCATGGCAAGCTCTGCAGAGGTTGGTACTTCAGTGGCGAAACCTTGAGACTGAGAAGTTTGCAAAGTTAGTAGTAAATGAAGTAAAGTTTCTAAGCCTTACTCTCTCACAAACACCTGTGGCCACATGAACAAATTATGAGGTAACACAATACGTAGGATGAAAACAATGAACTTCCAGAATAATGATACTGGGTATTGTGGTCAGCTACTGATTGATATTGCAATATTGTCTATTTCTTTCTTTTTTCTTTTTGAATTTTAGAGAAGGGTCTACAGGGTGCTCAGGTTCTCACTACTAGATCAGTCCCTGTTTACAGCCTCCCAAGAGCTGGGATTACAGGTGTGTTCCACCACGCCCAGTCTCAATTGCCATCTCAGTGTGCCCTGGGGATGGGGCCAGCATGACAGGCCCGGGGATCAAACCCCTGACCCATGTGCCTGTTTGCAGGTGCTTTAATCTGCTAAGCTATTTGCCTGGCCCTTAATATTGTCCATTTCTAAAGAGGGTTCCTCAGAGTTATACTCTGGTTTCTCTTCAGATCATATAAATCTTTTACCTTTTACCTCAGAGTCAGAGTCAGGATGATAGCGTCCCACTGATGGGCACATTATTGTATATAAAGGGGAGTTTGACAGCCCAAATGGGTCAGCAATCCCAGATCTGTGACCCTAAGTAGCAGCAGGCCATCTTCTTCCTCAACCTCTGGAAGGCAGCTTTGATCTCCTTGTTCCTCAGGCTGTAAATTAAGGGATTCAACATGGGGATCACCACGGTGTAGAAAACAGATGCAAATCTGTCAAAGCTGGAGGAGCCGCCAGAGCTGGAACTCAAATACACAAAGATGCTGGAAGTATAGAAGAGGGAAACGGCTGTCAGGTGAGAAGCACAGGTGTTGACTGCCTTGGACCTGCCTGTAGCCGACGTGATCTTCATGATGGACCGGACTATGTAGCCGTAGGAAACGGTGATAGCCAGGACATTTGTTATGCCAAAAATCATTATCAATATAGCAGTGAGGACTTGAACAAAGAACGTGTCTGTGCAGGACAGCTTTAGCAGTTGGGGCATGTCACAGAAGAAGTGCCTGATGACGTTAAGGCCACAGAAGTGGAGCTGAAGCAAGGCACATATTTGAGACAAACAACCTGTGAGTCCAGCTGTGTAGCATCCCAGCACCATCTGGACACAGAGAGTGGGCGACATGACTGAGGAATAGAGCAGCGGGTTGCAAATGGCAGCATACCGGTCATACGCCATGGCTGTCATGAGACAGGATTCACTCAGTCCCATTGTAGAGAAGATGAAGTTCTGAGTAATGCAACCCATGAAGGTGATAGTCTGTTGCTCCTGGAAGAAGTCGGAGAGCATTTTGGGCACTGTGGAGCTGACGTAGCAGAGATCTATGAAGGACAGGTTACTGAGGAAGAAATACATGGGTGTGTGCAGGTGGGAGTCCATCCTTATTAAAACAAGGAGCGACAGGTTCCAGGTCAGACTTGTAATGTAGATGAGCAGGAATGCGCCAAAGAGCAGTGGTGTGACTCTGGGGAAATCTGAGAATCCCAGGAGGATGAACTGGGTGACCTCTGTGACATTCCTTTCCACAGTCATTGCCTCAGTGCCCCTAATATCAGGGAGAAAAGAAGAAAGAGCATTGTTGACTCTGGTTCAATTGTATAAAAAACCATTTTTTAAATCTTTTTTTTAACAGGGCATACCAGAAAAACAGAAATATGTCTCTGTCTCTCTGCAGAAAGACCCCTCTTTTCAAATTTTCAAGATCTCATTTTGTGGTGCATGTTATCCATTCATTAGGAAGTCTCGTGAGAATTACAGGGGTTAAGATGACTAGTACTTTAAAATGTCATAGAAGGGCTTGCGAGGTAGCTCAGCAGGCTACAACACCTGTATCTGCAAGCTTAGGCAAGCGCAGGGCCTGCAGTTGGATCCCCCACACCACATGCCGTGCCCGCCCCGCCCCAGGGTGCGCTGAGCCAGCCACAGGAAAAGAAAATAAAATGCCATAGAAATGCTTGTTATTAAATTGGAGTACAGGATGTTGCTTGAACTAAAATGTGTCTCAACAGGCTTCTGATAATTCATCATGTATATCTTGATTTGCAGTCCTGGGTGTGCAGGTGGAACCCTTCTAAAATAAATTTGAAATGTCTTCTACTCTGTCTTGTTCTCTTAGTAGAGTTACAATTTTCTTCTTCTGTCTTACAGAGAATTACTTATACTGTTAATATTTTATGAAATTTTCAACAAATGTCTTTTATATAATTTCTTCACATTAACCTTTAACATATCATAATTTTTAACTCTGCCCTATTTTTTTTTTGGATCAGAAACATAGAAACATGTATGTTCCTGATGTAATGGAAAAAACTCACCAGGGAAGACTTCACATAAAACAGCTTCCTTTTGACCCCAATAAATTTTTAATTTCAGGGTGTTTTGGTTCTTGGAAAGCAGTGTATAAACATTGTTCAGGGTGCATACATTGGAAATGTATTTTTTATATCTTCTTATTTTATCAATAAGTTCGATTAACCTTACAAAATGAAACATGATTTACTCTTTATATATCAACGAAGACAGAGTCCTGAAACAGTTACTGTTCCAGGAAGATAATAATAAATGAAAATTTGTGTATGTACTCAGTACCTGATCAGGCATGTAGTAATTGTTCAGTAGACATTGTTAGTATCATTGATTGATGATTAGAAACAAACATACACAACAGGGCCATCCAATATCAAATTATGATGGGACTTGATACAGAGAAATAATCAAAATAAGAATGTTGATTTCCACATACTACAGGGATTTTTCTTTTTTTCTGGTTTTTGCTTTCCTTCCCCCTTACTTTTTTCTTGGTACATATCAGCCAGTTAGAGCTCACTAACAGATTTTCAGTAGGTAACGCCTATGGTTATGCTCCGTTCTACAACTGTCCTTCCTTGTAAGGAAGTAATGAAACAATGATTACAATAAAATATTTTTTAAAAAGAATAATTACAGTGATGGAGCTGGAAATGTGGCTCAGTGGTAGAGTTCTTGCCTTGCATGCACAAGGCTCTGGGTTCAATCTCCAGAACCACACACGAAACGTGACATAGAAGACCTTCACAAGGAAGGCCGCAGTACTCTGAAAAAGTAGATTGACTATGATATCAGAACACAGAAAGATATTGATATGCAAGCTAGTGTGATCAAAGTAGCCATATTTCTGTTATATTCAGATTTAATGAAACACAATCAAAGTACCAATAATATTTGTTAAGGAATTGGAGAAATCAATCTGAAAATTCATCTGGAACCAGGAGAAATCTAGAATGGAAAAAGCAATTCTATTCTGTTGACAATAAAGCCAGACTTGTGGGTCACTGGGACCAAGCAGAAGATACCGAAACAACTCTGAAGAGGTGTTGGTGGTCTAGTGGTGAGCATAGCTGCCTTCCAGAAACAACTCTGGGAATGCACAGCTAGACTGTCCTTGACGAAGGGGCCAAAACGCTTTGCCCTAGGAGTCAGCCTCTTTAACAAATGGTCATGGGAAAACTGGCTATTCACATGCTGAAGGCTGAACTTAGACCCATACTTCTCAGTGTGAACTACACCAGAATCAAAATGGACAAGAAAGATCTCAAATTAGAACAGAAACAATCTGCTGGAAGACAGCATAGGTGAAATTCTTCAGCTATAGGTGTAGGCCAAGACTTTTTGAACAAAACCCTGGTTACGTAAGAAATAATACTAAGAGTCAACAGAAGGGACAACACCAAATTAAAAAGCTCTTACACATTTTGTATCTGTGTATTCAAAGTGGTTAGGATAGATATATAGTTGCATTCTCTTAATGAATAGAATGATTTGTTCTAATGGTGTTTGTAAATAG